CTGAAAACCTCTAAATTATGATGTAGGTGCTTTGTTTTACCTGATTTTCTGCTTTTACTGCATACAACTGATATTCAAGCTTTGATACATATTCTTTAGCTAAAATAATAACAATATTCATTGTTTATAATGCGCAAATTAACATGTTGTTGGAGGATGATCAAATGTGCAAACAAAAAATAAAATTAAACCCCCTGAAAAGAAACAATTTTTTTCAATAATCAAACTGCCATGTCACTCTAAGAATCCTATATTAGTAATGTTTTACCTTTCCTCAATTCTTGATCAACTGTGCTATTCTTCTCAGTAGGGTGGCTACAACCTAAATAGGAATGTAAAAATACATAATGCTAAGCATGTATTCAAACACTTGACAATAAGGAGTCATCCACTTGGCCATAGGACAAACACTAGCTAATTAGGAGCTTTTTTATTTCAATACACATCCCTACCATGGAGATTAGCCAGAATTGTTTTAGTAAGTGACTCCATCTACCAAAGGTAGCAAATTACAGTTTCATCACTGATTTAAACAACTGATAACCTGGTGGCCCTCAACTAATTAAATATAAATATAAATATAAATATGAATATGAATATGAAAATGAAAATGAAAAGGATTTAGCAGTGGCAGTTCCACAGAGTGTCTCTTTATCCACTAAAATTCCAATTGGAAGTTAGGAGTCAGTTTTTGAGGAAGGAGAAAATCTGGAGAACCCAGAAAACCCTCACAGGAGAGAACCAACAATCTTCTTTCAATCAACTCCTCTCACATGCAACACCGAGGCCAGTGGGACTTGAACATATGGTTGTATTGATAAGAGGCAAGTGCTCTTAACACTACGCTCTCACCACTAAGCCAATGGTGCTTCCCTTATAAATAAATACATAAAAAATCAAGGATAACACTCCTAATAACAAAAAAAAATCTTTTTTTATTTTCATTCTAAAATAATTATAATAGTGGCAAGTTAATTAATTTCTCTATCATTAACAAAAATTTAATACTAGTTTGAAATGTATTATACAAGAGCTAGTTCTCTATACTACAGCCTTAATATATAGAGCCAGTGCATTCAGATTTTAGTCAAGTCCCTCCCTGGCCCACTCTCATCCTATACCAGGATAATTCACCAAAGCTTAAAAAAAATTAATCACATAATGCTTAACTTAAGTTTTTGTATTCCCCTAAGTTGTAAATCAATTTTTTCAAATGCATACTAAAATGACCAGTCTCATATCGTAATTACGTATATATGTTTTAGTCACATTTACAAGACTCATGACTGTCTGCATGTGTTTTAGCAGGCAAAGACTTGTGCATGCATGAAGATATTCAAACAAATTAAAACTTGTCTCACCGTTATCGCTAAGGTTTATATACTCTTCAGTTGAAACACAAGCATCAGCACAAACAGTTGGTAATGATGAACTTCCCACACTACTTGCACTTGATTCCAACAATGTGAATGGCTGAAAGGCATACAAAAATAGGAAATATTTAAAACATAAAAAAAGGCATACAGACATAAAACAATCTTTTATCAATTTACAAACAAAGTATGAGCCATCAAACAATGGGTCATGTCTTTCTCTTGAGCATAATTTCTTTGTTGGCTGAAAATCTCAAGGAGTTCTGCCTTACTTTTTCTAATTACTGTAACCCATTTCTTAGTATTGGATATCAAATTGTTAACCCTCTGACTCCTACACGTCTGCTATGGCCAAAATCATCCTAAAAAATGCAACTTATTTGACAATTTCACCTTAAACAATTTCGAGCCCAAATAGCTGTCAAGATTCTTCACTAGTAAACAGAAAAAACTTTCAAAATACAAAAATACAAAGAAATATGCAAAATTCTAACAAAAAATCCTTGCAACGTTTTCAGAAAAACAAAAATCAAAAATTATTGTTTATCATCAAATATTTTTTCCTTCATATTTGTTATTTGGACTCAAATATATTGATTACACAGTAAAGTTTGGACCTAGCTCTTGGTTTAGTGTTTTCTTTGTCATCATTTTTTACATGGGAAATTCATGATATTTTCAACAAGGAATACAGCTGACAGCCTTTAATGTTTTTTAAAGTTTCGAGGCACTTGGTCCTACGAACGAAATATCAGCCTCAAAGCATTGAAAATGCCAAATAGGTCCTGGCTGTCCATCTATTTACAAGCTCACAGGATAATTGCGCAAACATTTTTCAAACCTACCAAGTACAAGATGTACCAACTTTTGACAATAAAATCRCTTGCATACTTTATCATCATCATCATTATTATTATTATTCAGTTCTTTGAGATAATTAAGCTGTCCAACTGCTTAATGATTATCTCCAGCACCCCATAGATGGAAAAAATGGCATAAAATTGATTGATTTAGCTTTATTACCATAATTTTTCAAAGTTTATTTACAAGGTAATATTAAAACAGGTATTGGTAATATAGCTACTCAGAATAGCTAGACTAATCGAGCTGAGGAGCTGAAAAAAATTTTCCAGTTTTTTTTAATACCTCTAAATCAAGCTGCCATTGCTTCTTAGAAATGTTTCTTCTCTGGAATATCAAGCCAATGTTGAACTTTGTACCACATTTGCATAAGACACTGACAATGTCAATCCAAACATGGTTTTGCTAGGGCTTGCAGAAGGTTTATGTCCAGAAAAACAGTAAAAATGCTCAAAAATACCCAGGAGTCAAAGGGTTCATTTGAATATAACATAATATAGTATAAGTTTACACATGATTAAAGGGATTTGCATGGTTTGATTGGTCAGTAGACCAGTGATTATGAGGCAATAGTCATGCTTCAACAGGTGGTACTTAACATCAAGTCACCTTTGTTTGCGTGCCTCTGGTGGTTGAACTTGCAGACCCTCCAGATCCTGAATCAGTGGATGAGCAAGATGTACACTGATTGCTAGTTGTTGCAGTGCGTTTTGACTTTTGGGCCAAGAGGTTTAACTTCAGTTCCGTTTGCAATCTAATGAGAAAAAAAGAAATGAATAGAATATCAGGGCTTTGAAATAACAGCTGGTCATTGGCAATTTCTGACCAGAATTGGAACTTTGCCAGTCATTTGCCAGTCAGGTATGACCGAGCTAAAACTAACTTGGCTGGTGATCATGACTGGCAACTGACCAGTGATAATATTCCAAACCATGGAACATTATATATAAATCAGATAAACAAAAGTCAATATCACATGCTGCTGCCCTTGGTTTGATCTTTGAAAGGACTATCCTATTGTACTAGAAAAGCTTATTTTTTTATTGCTTTTGTTGGGGAAGTTTTTGAAGTTTTGACCCTCCATCTGGCTGATTGATAGTTTTAAAATATTTTTTAATGCTCCCCTCAAAATTAGTCTTTCCCATAGTTTATATTTTATTCTGATTCATTCTTATTTTGTTCTAAATGCACCTTTCACTAAATTGCATTTTTTCTTATGACTCACAAACAGGGTGTCTTGAATCTTGCTGGTTGAACTAACAAACAATGATTAAAAGCTTATCAATCACCTTCTGTCATCTGACATAGAGACTACATTGGCTATTTATATGAGGAAATGAACTGCTGATTTTCCATGTGGGATACTTTTAACAATGTGGATCCACTGTGCATGTGCACAATCGTACATAGTTTTATCTTCAGATCATTTATATTAAAAGAATCAAGAATCAATCCATTAACTATGGTCAAACCTTTTTTTGCTGATGTATTAAAGTAAACAGAAATGCTTAAATGTACAATTGTCAACATATTTAGATGTTTTCAAGACTCGTAGGTTGAACTGAATGCATCGAAAGAAGCACTTTTCATTAGAATTCAAAACGAGAGTCAGATTTCAAGCTCTGGGGGAGTTTATTCTCATAGAGAAAGGTGAAAGTCACAGCAGTATTCAGAAAAATAAATTCTCATAAAGTCGAGCAAAGTTTTATAAGAACAGTTGTATTTTCCCATGTGACTTCTTTAAGAAAATAATCAAAGATGGATGCAGATCGTAGAAAATTAGCAAAAGATGAAATAAACAACAATCCCAATAAAGTCTTGCAGAAAATTTGGCTAGTTTTGTTATCCAGATAAGCTGTTCTGAATAAAAAGTAGATTGATAGTCGGACATCACAAACAGCCGAAGCCAATGTTCTTGTATAAAATCTGCGAAGGTACAAATCTACACCATAGATGTCACTCGAGACAACTAACAAATTTGTTCTAATGAATAATCAGTTATTTACAGACTCAAATGACGACAAATTAAATAGCATTTCTAAACCAATTTCTGTAAAATATTCGCTTAGTTCAAATGTAAATAAATAGTTTCATGTAAAAACTTCAGGCAACAAATGGATTGTAAGCACTGTGACCCTTGAAAGTTAAGATAAGTAGTAACGTAATATGTATAATGCAACGTTTTTTGTGAGCAAAAAAGGCAAAAGAGTAACTTTATTTTAAAAACATATCAATCTTCAAGAAAAACATTTAGACACATATGATAAATACAATTTAAATGTACGTAAATACAAACAACTAAATTTTATCTGTCTGGTGAAAATATGTAATTATACTCAGAAAAATATTCTACAAAAAATGAATACAATCAAGCATTATTTGGGCTTTTGAGAGTCAATTGTTATTTTGGTGGTGCTTGGTTGACCCTTATGTCAAAACAGTGTATACAAATGTGCATTAGTTTTAGCTATTCAAGAAAACAAAACTCCTAATGTAGCTAGGTATGTGCAATGTATCACGTTTATCCACACACCACACCACAAATTGGAAGCTAGTGACCTTTGATTTGACTTTCTCTCATCAGTAGAATCCTGTCAATGAGAGGGTTGATATCTTGTTGCAGCTAAAGAAATATTAAATAATATACATATGTATATTAACACCCAATAGCAAATGCAAAGTAACCACACAATGTTATAAATGTCTCTTTTTAAAATGTGAATTAAATATATGTAACATTGATCAAAAATCTAAGGGCTAAGATATTAAAAATTGATGGCTATGCTACGTGAGGGAATGCTGACAAACAACACATCTGGAAATGGTTCTTGCAACCTTTGACCTTCAGCTAAGCTGTCTGAGCTGAACCATCTATTAAAAACTCAAAAAAGTACCAAGAGGTTCTATTAGATAATACCAGGAAAGAATTTTCCTGATTTCCAAATCAATAAGTAAATCACACACCTTGTGTACTAATTTAAAAAGATAAAGAAAGTTAGGAAAAGGTGTCCTTAACTTAAAATTTTGCTGATTCTGAACATACATGTTGAACCTTTTAGCTGAAAAGAGGTGTGCAATACAAGTTTCAGAAGGAATCGCAGGGTGTAACATCCCCAGCTCTGTAAAACCGCTTTGTACTTGTGCATCCAAAACTTGCATCATTAATGAGTTTTCAGGAGGAAATTGCGATGTGTCATTTAGGGACACACTGGAAGCTAAGGAAATATTAACTAACTACGCAACTTGATTTGATCAAATACATTCTTTTAGACCTGAAGATACATATATATATGTTATTTACCGGCCAAGAGGTCCGGATAGCGAAAACCTGTGCCCGAGGTCTTGAATATACTGACCGAGGCCGTTAGGCCGAGGCCCGTTATCAAGACCAAGGGCACAGTTTTTCCCTGTCCTGACTGAGTATATATGATGGTAAATAACTTATTTAATTTTCCCCCGCATTTTTTTACTTGTTTTTGTAATCATTTTGTTTTGATGTTTAACGGCAAAGGATACCGAACCCCAAGCGCGGGCARATACTGACAAAATACCGCCCGCTCAAACAGCCAATCAGAACGCACGACTTTTCAGGATACCGAACCGGAAAAAAATAAAAAGGCACTATTTAATGAATCTCACTTGGTATCTAATGATTTACTGGAATTTTAGTTAAAAACAACACTGCACCACCCAGTTTTAGCAGCTTAAGTTTTTGAAATTGTTATCAGGAGCAATAATAATCATGCAGAAAACTAAATTCTGTTATTCAACTTACTTAACTATTCAGCTTAAAAGTCTGGCACTGTTCTTAGGATGCTATGGTGTGATGAAATAGAAAGTAAATAGGAGGGGCTGACTTTTAGTTGTCCTTTAACAAACGAAAGAAGCAATAGGATTGACAAGACAATAGAAACTAATGCCCTTGGAAGCAAGAAGATTCACATTTTGACAGTTCAAAATCTAGGGCTAATGAATTGTAAGCCAGGGCTTTGGTTGTCAAATATTTTGAGAGAAAACAGAACACTATATAATTCTTTAGCAGCACTTTGACCTGGAAAGTAGTGCATGTTGACATRCCTTCAAGGACACTTAAAACGTTATTTAAAAAAAGCAGATAAAAGCGATTCTTTTTTCCGCTTAACGTTCTTGTTTAATAGCTATCTATGTGAGGTTTCCAACTGTTTGGAGATTACTTGTGCTTCACAGCAACGTGCTAGACGGGATAAGCTGAAAAATAAGAAGCCTAGAACACCGTGCGCATCATTCGTTTATCACGTCTGATTGATTGAACTCCACAAGTGTATATACTGGGTATTACGAAAGCAATAAGTTATTGCGCTTTTACTCAAGAGGTTTTGCGTAATTTTAGAAAACTTGATATCTTGTTGTTCCTATTGTTGAAGGCAGACAGTGAAATCAGTGATGATATCAGCCGAAATCCTAGAAGTACAAAATTATTTACGAGCCGAGCTCTGCAATCACGCCAGTCTGAAGGTCACTCGAAAGGAATGTGGTATCACTAAAATAACCTTAAAAAATAGCTTAGGCATAATAAAACTATCAAATTCCAAGTGGAGGCATCCTTTACGTGAGTGGGCAGAACCAAATTTTTTTTGAAAAAAAAAATTAATAAGCGAAAGATCAAAACGGTTGCGTCTTGATTCTTATTTGTATTAAAGTGTTACTAGACTCATTAAATTTCGTTTCTTAATCCTTAGGTTTGTCTACTAATTTAATACCCCCCCAAAAAAACCCTTATGCTTTTTAGACTTTGATAAATTGGAGTGACCTCGATTCGAATCACACTTTCGAGATGGTATTTAGTTACTTGCACTAATGGACATGGTTAAAGCTGCGAGTCTTCTTTTGTTTCTGTACCAGCGTGCCCACAACAATAATTGTTAATGGTTGCTTTTAATAAAACGATACAAAACGCTCCAGTGATTCTTTTCAAATGRCGTATTCTTTCGTTTATTACTAAATTTAATCAAAGCGCAAACTGCACAAGAGACGAGTCTTACGGGTGCAAAATTACACAATTATTCGCGTCTTATTGTCTATTCAAAGGAAATAAACGGCCTCAAATTTTACCCTTACTCCTTCAAATTTAACACGGTATCAGTCCAGTTAAATATACCAAAACATATATGAAAATATGAATCTCAATTCGAAAATTCGCCGGAGTTTAATTTTTTACTGGGTTTAATTATTCTAATAGACGCAAGGATAATCTACGTTGCGACTGAAAGCTTCCCAAAGGGGCAGCTTGCTAAAGATATTGCACAAACATCTCTCTTACCTTTCTTTATCTCTGAGAAGAGTAGCAAACTCGGTGCATAAAGAGACATATCCGCGTTTATTAGCCGCACGGACAACCATCGCTACAGCCCGAGCAGCAGTTTCTCTGTCTACATCACAGTCCACAAGATTGTAGATATTACTTCCATGACCATGTCCTGTGTTGRAAAGAAACACCCAAGATATGTATTTAAGAAAAACTAGATAAGGTTCCTTGTAACTAGATAAACGTTCTTGTGTTTAGTGGGCGGAAAGATCAACGAGCTGTAAAACCCACAAGCATTTTCGAAACCTAGACTTTCGCCCAGCAAACGATTTTTGTATAAATTAAATAATGCGTTCGTACCGTCTTTCGCCTTGGTCTTCGCAAGCCACTTGGGAGTTAATGAAGATGATGAGGAATTTAAAGTTGGAGAGTCTGTAGCAGCTACTTTGGGTCTTCGGGATGTTTTTCTGGTTGACTGACCGCTACCAGAATGTTCAGCACTACTACTACTTCCACTAGAATTACTGTTGGAGTCAGCCATATAGTTAGACATGCACGACTTGACACAGTTCTCTCAAACCAGACCTCTTGTAACAGCAGTTGTCGTCGAAATGAGCGTCGTGCATATCCAACACATTCACAAATGTACCAAGATGGTGTTAATGAAAAGATAATGAGTATTTGTGGAAGTACAAGAGCATTTTTAATGACTCCTTCCTTCTGCTTGCGCAGCACAKCAAATGAGCAAATGCTAAGAATATGCGCCCGCGATATAAGCGACGTGCAGACGTAACCTGACCCCTCTTGTTTCCGTACAGACAATGGATCAGCCTGTCATGCCGGAACAAAATATAAAACCTTTCGGCCATTCTTTCGCTTCATTACGGTTCTGTCCTTCTATATCACTATGTGATTTTAAATTATGACCAAGAGTCATTTGGCCTTGTCAGTGCTTTATGCTTCACCCGCCATGTGCAGAATCCGCCCTTTAGTTTCACCATCCGCAGTTGTTTTTTGATAGTTTCGTTTATAAATACCTCATGGGGTTTTATTATTTTTTTGGTGTAGCAAAGAAACGGATGTTGCATGGGACTTCCAACAGTTACAAAGTTAAATCCAGGGAAAGTAGTAGTGTCTAGTTCCTACGAGGAAGCTGTTGGAACCGCAGGAGCTAAGGCATTCATTCACAGTGAACCGCCTGAATATTATAGACCCCCCTTCGTTATGTAACCAAACTAAAGGCAAGCATACGTCAGTAAAATGATTAAACTTTCAATACAGCATAAATAAAAAAATGAGAGAAACGAATAAAAAAATAAGCAGTATCGACTTATAGTAATTAATTTTTTTTACAAAACTTGGTTCTGAGCTAGTATTTCCACGGCGGCAAGAAAGAAGTCAGACCGCGAGTCTCGGAACCACCTCTACAYTTTTCAAAACCGCTTGCCTATTTGTGAGTGCAAAATTAATAAATACGTATGTATGTATGTACCAGTACCATGTATCATAGTAATTATTTACTGAAAGAGAGAAAAAAAAAAAAAAAAAAAAAAAACCTTGCAAATCTTTCATAGTTAAAACTGTCTGCAGAAGATGAATCATAGATGAAAAACAGAAATTTGATGTAATAATCCCTATAGATGAACTCTGTGACCGGTGTATAGTCCGACTGCGACTATCGGACCTCGGGGTCCGCCCAGCGGCATGGAAGGCGCATTCCAGCTTGCCAACCGTGACGAGCGAAAATCAACAGTTAAATTTACCTCTGTTTTTTAAATTTGTTTTGTTTTCCCTTTATTTCTTTCCATTTCTTTTTTTTCCAGCTTCTTTCTTCAAAATTCTTTCTAGTGCCAGTCCCTTTTTAAATTTGTCCAAAAGCCAGGTTACAAGGCTTGTACAAAATGGCGGGTAAGTTTGTAACAATCATATGTTACATTTACGGATTTTATTTCTTTTATTTAGATATTTCATAACTATTAAAAGTTAAAATTACTCCTATTCTACCAGTATTGCTTATTGTAGATCGATTTTTTATTTGCTATTCGATATGTTTTGGACGTAGAGATTTAGAATTTTTTGCTCGTATGCCTATGACAGTAAATGATCGTTTTTATTCACTTTAGATGCAAGTGAAAAGGCTAGTAAAGCTTCCAAGAAAAACCAAAAGAGGTCGCAAAAAAGAACTGAAGCGAGGATAGAAAAAATCAAACAAGAAGGTGTTGTTGAGCAAATCTTTGAAGAGAAAGATCCTATCAAGGTCCTGAAGAAAAAACTCCAAGAAGCAAAAGATAACAAGGTACTGTATCTCATGCATGTTTGTTCAACACCTCAGCTTATTTATAGACCTATGAAATTCAATGAAATTAGCTTTTCTTTGTTTGTATTGGGACCCCCTTTCATAAATGACAGGAAAAAGGGCTTGGGACTTGAGATATTCAAACTGCCCCCCCCCCCCCCCCACTTTTGCTTGGTTTATAAGTATTAAATCACAGCAGTAGGAGTAAGCACAGTTAATAAAGCATGTGTGATTTGTATCTTTTCTACAACGCATTAGACATTTTTTTAGTATAATCACCACCAGCAATARCTGTCAAACTTATTTCTTGTTCCACGGGATCCTTCAGTATACCAGCCCAGGGGAGTGAAGGTAGRAAACACGATTACAAGGGGGTTATGAGATCGCAGGATAGGGAGGGGGAGGGGGGGTGTAAGATATGAACCTGGGAAGAACTGTTCCTTTTGTTTTTCCAATAAACCAGTTTCAAGTTCCAAATTAACTCAGTCTGTTTTTATTGATTACAGACTCATTTACACAGGGTTAGTCTTAATTTTGTGCAGAATATTCACATGTTCCAGTCATAGGCCCATTAAGTTTCAAAGTGTTAATATTATTGAAGTTATGCATTGTTTCCTTTGACRTTGGTATTTGTGAATATTTTAAGCACTGATATAGGTCTAACCCTGTGTAAATGAGCCAGTAATTAAGGAACACTGTGGTAATTTGGGACTGGTCTATTTTTGTAATATTTTTGTTATTGCATTTGACCTGTGAGAARGATTTTAAAAACCTATTTGAGAAGAGAATATAAAGATAAATAGATCAACATTATAACATTGAATTTTGTTTTTATGTATATTACATGTAGGATCACAAACTAGCTGCAGAACTGAGGCAACAATTATGGGTTGCACAGGATGAAGCTGCAGGTTTACTGTAAGTAAAATTTTCTATAATCATATGCCAAGTAAATATTCTGAAATGTCACAATTACAATATATAAAAAAATAATTATTTGTTTGGGCTTGTTCCAAGAATGGCATGAGCTGAAGCCGGAGGGATTATGGACCCCTTCACAGTTCCTCTAGCATTTTGAATGAATTATGATAATAAACATGGAGATCAAAAATAAGATGAACAGTCACTTGTTTCTTGATCTTGATTATAAGACATGGTAGTGTCTTTTGTCATCTTGGTTATCTGGACAAAAATTTGTACTTCAAGCTGTGCAAATTTTAGACCTGCAAAATTGAGGTCAAATTTTTGACTTTGCAGATTAAAAAAATGACYGGTACTGTCCAAACACATTTTCTGGTTAACATTTCATACAGCAAGCTGAATAAAAATTGAAAAGACCTGTGTGAACACCTTGTCCGGATATATATATATAGWTTGTAAAGCAAATGGCAGTATGCTTGGCACATGTTCACATGATCATATTGATCTGCAGTTCCRTGTAAACAGATGGTTCTTTTTATGCAACTAAAGAGACAGTATGTTCCATGTGCCATTAATGATATGTTACTACTAGTTGATCAAATTTTTGACCAGTTAAAAATTTGTCTGGTAACAAAAGAAGTCTGAAAATTGACTCACTTTTGTATTTCTATGATGATAGAATTCTCATTGTAAGCATATGTATATATTTTTATTATTTCATGAAACATAAATGAATTCTCATTGTGAGTATATGTACAAACAGTTGCCTTTTTTCGTGTTTCTTTGTATTTATATCAATCTGAGTCTTTTTTTTTTTCTGTTGGGCTCAGCTTCCAAACATAAGTTTTATCAAACCATAAAACTATATCTAAAAAGAATAAGGTCAGGGTAACAGCTACAGTAAACAGCTACATAAATTCCAGTCTGATTATATAACCATTATGATGAGACAAACACATGAGTTGTACCATGTTTGCCCAGACACTTGCTGAATTATGATAACCAGTAGGATCTAAAATGGGTTAAAGTTTTTGTAATGAGATACTGGTATTGCAGTTTATTTCTATTGTGAAAAATGATATACATTGGCTTGGCTCTACAYTTTGAATAACTCTTTTCAAGAAGAAAGGGTCCAAAATTTTGAATTTTACATTTTTTTATGTTTCATTATATTGGTTTTACTTAGTCTGTTTTTTTATTATTGCTTTAATTTGATTAAGTTTCAAATATATTTATTTTTTATTATATATTAAGAAAAAAAAGAGGTGTCTTTTATATGTGCTACCAATTTTCCAGACATTTCATCTGCCGGCATGCAGCTATTGGCTAACTCTGCTATATTTCAGCCTGTTTAATTGATTTAAGACAGCTTAACCTTATACTGAGATCACCACTATTTTTGTCACAAGAAAACGAAGAATTTTATTTGTCATGGCAGGTAATAATCCAGTCAATCCAAGGRAAAAAAAATCCATTCTCTTGCCAAATTCAAATAACTAATAGGACGTTTGCATGATGACGTCATTTGACTCCCACTACCAATATGCTTTGCGAATTTTCTTTCTTGTTTAAATTTGTATTCCCTCATGAGAATAGTAAGACAATTGGTGCTGATTAACTGAACAAAAGAAAGTGTGCAAGGGAGTCTGGTAGTAGAGGTCAATGACGCCATCGTGCAAACATCCTATTGTATATATTTGCATAATACTCATATAGTTCAAAAAAGTTCATTTAGTTCAGCTTTTTCTTAATCAAAGAAGTCCAATAATTGAATATTTTACAGGGTCTATTATTTTATTTTACACAAGGTTTAAAAAAGTCCAGTACAAAGTTATCAATGACTAGCACAGATATGCAAAATATAGAAGTCTGTAATATGAATTGTTTAAGGTGAAAATCTGCAAAACTGCAGTAAATAATTGTTTTTCAACTTGGAAATTTTTGAAGGTTACATGTAGCTTTGGTAGAACAACATATTTCCTGGTAAGCAGATGGTTATAGTTCCTTCTGCGCCTGGTTGTATGAAGAGTGGATAGCACCATCCAATGGATCAATCTTATCTCGTGGATAAATTTATTGGATAACAGGGCCTGGTTGTTCAAAAGGTGGATAGCAATAAAATTATTGGATAACAGCATCGTCTTATCCACATAATAAGGATTTATCTTTTTGGTAGCGCTTTCCACCCTTTGTACAACTGGGCTYTGTAGTGCTGGGCATCAAAGGGATGGGATAAAATAACCTCCCCATTCACTTCTTGTATGCTGTTTTACATTATATACTTAAATTGTTTATGAAACCAAATGTTCAACCTCTATGTTATTTTAAAACAAAAAAATTTAACATTTTCCGAGTATCGTGACGCTATTTTTTTTGGAATTCAGTGTAACTAAAAAAATTTTTTTCGCCTTCGAAAATCAGTCATTTGCACCAAAAACTGTCCGGCTCCGTCGCGCGGCCATAGGAGCATTTTGACGTCTCTGCGAGGACTCGTCGCGTTGGTTGTGTTGATATATTCATATTCTACTTACACTGTAATTGATGTCGGCGGAGTCAAAAAAGCGTGGAGGAAGATACTGTGTGGCTGGTGGGCCGGGTAACGTAAGCTGTAAAAACAGTGCTAGTACTCCAAACATGATGACTTTGTATGTATTTGCTTTAGAATATTATAATGTACTCTATCTACAGTGCTATTTTGTACAGTCTTTAGTACTCATAAAAACCGTAAAAAGCTTTCGAATATCAAGTCTGTAGTTATTTGAATGTGACTTGATGTGATTTGCTGCACGCTCTGTTGAGGGTAAAGGGTTAGCGTGTGGGGCCTGTGGTTTGCCCAAGGGTACTCTCAGTCTCTAAGGAAATGAATAAGGGAAACAATCAGCATTACTTTACACTGATAAAACTGTTTCCACTCACGTACCAGACTTGTGCTTCCTACCACAAATCTTTATATCCTTTCTTGAATAAGGGTAAGGGGAATAAATTTAATAAATAAATAAATAAATGAATAAAAATAAATAAATAAACAAATAAAAAGGAAAATAAAAAAAGGAAAAAGAGAAAAAGAAAGCCAAACGGTACGAGAAATGTTTGATGATATACATGTTCATTGTATAATGACGTTAGTTCGGTTGTGATTTACTGCATACACTGAACTGTATCTTATTACTTGATCTGGCTTCAAAAATTGATGTGTGSTTACAGGCCATTTATAACGTCGTTTTTTGCTTCCCTTCAACTTTGCTCTCCGTTTACCGCAATGTTTCCTTTCAGTGATTGTAAAATAATGAGTRTATGCGAATAATGATGTTTTAATTTATAACGAGTGAATGCAGAATAAACTAAAGAAAGTACGTTGTAAAGTCTTGTGCATGGAAAATTTTTGTTTTATCCAACAATATTGTCTCTTSTAGAAATTCATGTTTTACCCAGAAATTTGTATTGCTCACTAGTTCTTTTTYCCCCCTTCTTTCTTTTTCTTTCTAAGAGCTACGGGAAAAAAGTTGCACGAGTGACAGTTAAAAAAAACTTGTGTATTTCGAATATATGGATGCGAGTCCATAAATATCTGATTCCAAGTTTAAGATACCGAGGTAGAAATGAGAAATGCTATGTCCTACTAACGAGGTTCGTAACGAAACTTGACGTCCCGGGCCCKGTTGTACGAAGGGTGTATAGCGCTATCCGATGAATAAATGGCCTTATTCAGTAGATAAGTCGATGCCGCCTACCAATAAATGTCTTTACTCACTGGATAAGATTTATTCGCCTTATAGTGCTATCCACTCTTCGTACAACTGGGCTCTCGACTCACCTGGCTTTGYCCCTTGACCGTCTAGTCCGAAATTAAAAATCTTGACATCAGATGAGTAATAGGTGACCGAGGTAGCCACGATTATCCTGTTGGTGAGTAGATTGGGTATGCCAACTATTTAGTTTGCTTTTCTGACAACATCTACCGTGTCTTTGCGTTCCTTAATTTTTGATGATGAACGATTCATTAATTGTTTGTAATTACTTAGACGAAAAAATGTCATCGCAAAATTACAGAATACACCTTTCTTTGTACCTAAAATAGGTCTCAATGGGGAGTCAACGTTAAGCCGGGCAACTCGTCTATTTTTGTCTCATGCACTTTGTAACAGGTCAAAGTGTCTAGAATCCTATTAAAATGTTCAAAACCCTGAAAGAAATGAATAGAATAACAATAGCGAATCAGGCTTTATTAAAGAAAAAGAAGAAGAAGCAAAAATGAAAGGGAGAGCAGAGAGAAAAACAGAGAGACAGAAATAGACACTGTAGCGATTAAGTGTCATCGTAAAAGAAGGATGATTTAAAGAACTAGTTCAGAAAGAAAAAAGAAAAAATGACGGAAAAAGAGAAAAAGAAAGAATGTAAGTAAGAAGAAAGAAAGAAAGAAAGAAAAATTGTAGCACATTTTTCAAAAAAGTTTAAGATCTGACATAACTATTTATTTTTAAAGTATGATAACAGATCGCCAATACACCAAAAGAAAGAAAAATAAGAAGTACCAACCAATTGTGCCTTTTTTGACAATTTTAGAGAATGCTAATAATAGTGTCATAATCTTCCAACCCGGCACCATACTGCGGCGCCCAAAAGAAATGGTTTTGCGTGCTTCGTGGAAAGGATAATCTAGCGAGACCCTGCCACCTCTGTTAGTAATGACCACAGTAATGGTGGCCATGGAGGTCACGAAGGACGTGCTGTTAACCTCCATAAATACGTGGCTTAAATCATACCGCACGAAATGAGCCATGGATATAACCATCTATAGACACATAAATCGGGATTTTTAAGATTATATATATTGAAAAACATAGRAAAAAAATATCCCAACCCCACCTCATTTAGCGCAAGCTAAAAACGCGTAAAACGTAAGCCCTGGGGGCAAGAAAGCTTAGAAACCAACGACGACGGTGATTGAAAATTAGAAAGTCAAGTCCTTCAGCGCACGACATCCCTTATGAAGCAAATAAATCTCAAAGTCGTAACGCTCATCCTTCCAGTTTTCTCTTCCAATTTTATTTCTTGTTTAGACATAAACGGGGGTACCTTGTCCAGGTAGACTGGGACATCATTTACTAAAGTATAGWGAAAGTGATGGTACTTTGAATGTCGTGACAATATTGACTCAAAGAGTGGTGTTCTGTTAGTGATTTATCGTCAGATGCGATGAGTCTATTCAAAGCTGAAAAATAGAATATTAGAAGTGTCTTACAGCCTTAGGCAAAGCTGCATATTTGACCTGTACAAAGTCGAGTGTGTTTGGTCAAATGTCTGGCCATCATTTACCAGTCAAGTGGTCATTCTTACTAGATATTTGTCGCATATTATAACGCGCTATTATGGCGGTCGTGCAGCTTACAATCATGAGTGACTTGTTAGTACATTAGTGTTTTGCCTCCAAATTGGGATAGCTGTTAAACCAGGAGACAATCCCCTACTCTTACACGAATAATTCAACAGGTTCTTTTATGTCCCCCATTTTACTGCAGRTYAGAAATGGTTAGGAGACGGRGCCRACGGTTTGAAGTTMTAACCATTTTCAGATGTAATTACAAAGGCAGCACCTTTTCATAAAGGTTCAAACGCACGGGYCCGGTTTTGCATTAGAATTCAAGACCGAGGGCCGCAGTTAAAAATGAAAAAGAAAAAAAAAAAGAAGTTTAAAACATCAACTAAGCCCTAAATTCCATTGTTTCGATGSAAAACACGAAATACTAAATTATATTGAATTCAGAGAGGTAGATTACTGTTGCTTTGTTYTTTTGGAAATAGAGTGCTTACGATATATCTGTGTAATTAAAAACCTATCCCGGGTTTATAATTCAGCCCCGTTCTCCCCTGTTGATATCAATTCCGCCTCCGGCTTTAAGAAATCTGGGYTTTCCGAAGAATTTTAAGAACCTACATCAAACATTGGATTTAGGGTGTGGTTGATTTTTAAAAGCCGACACCGAAGGCCCGGTTATTTTTATCGTCTTAAGTAGCTTTCTTGAAATCATCTCTCCCGCTAGCCACCTTTGCAGCCGTTCTTAGGGTCGTCTGCAAAGGAGGCTACTCTCCCGCTTGATTTGAGGGTTTTCATCCCTACGCAAAACCCAGCAAGCTAACTTGAACGAACATTGTTCGTGCGTAGCCTTTCTTCTCATTAGTTTAGTGCGCGAGGTCATCTAAAGCGAAATTAATATCGAGAAAACAAGTTTTTCTCTTCAAACTCGTTTAGCTTTAAAACAAAGTCAAAGGCCCCATTGTTCTTTGTCTTAAAATAAGATACTATCAAAATCTATAACATACGTGAATGAAAAAAATTCGTTTTTTAATTGTTCGAAGTATTACGCAATGCATTTACTACTATTTTTGCAACAACAGCAAATTGAACGACTTTAAATCGAAGTACAATCTTTTAAATAATAAATTTATAATCAAATTATTATCTCTTTCAGTGTGCCAGATTCAGAAAAGCAAAAGGTCCAGCTACACAACCACATAACAAAACTGCCCAGTGGTTCTGAGACAAACTCGCGTCTGACAATGTTTCAAGGCACTCAAGATATATTAAATCAGTCTGGACCGGAGACGGGTGGCTTATCGCCATCAGAAAAACGGTTAAGAAATCTAAAGAAAAAGCTTCAACAGATACATACTTTAAAAGAGAAACAATTGAAGGGAGAGAAGCTAGAGAATACACAGGTATTGTGTAATAATAGTTATTTCAAAAAAGGTTGGCGAAGGTTATGTTCCTGCTTACTAAATTGAAAAAAGTATTTATTAATATCATGTTCATTTGTAGACTTGCTCCAAGTCTCGTTCGTGATTTTTTCCGTTGGCGAATCGTCGAATTCAAATTTCGGCATTTCGGGTTCCGACAGATTTCCGAAGGGAATGGCCGAAAAAAAAAAAAATGAAAATTACCTTTGGAAATCTGTCGGAACCCGAAGTGCCGAAATTTGAATTCGACGACTCGCCAGCGGAAAAAAATARCGAGCGAGACTTGGAGCAGGTCTAGTTCATTTGTAAATAATGTAAGCACAGAAGAAATTATGCCGGAAAAAACGTGCAGACAAAGTTTGGGATAATTGCCCTATTTCACTATGACGTCACTGCTTGTTTATGTGGGGGAGAGTGGGGGATAGAATCGCCAAATCCAATAGAAAATTCAACAAAATTTGCTACTAGTGAAACAGTTTRATCTAAAATGGCCTGGTTTTCAGATATAATATGTGTTAATATGTACTAAARAATATTCTGAGCGTTTGCTGGCTATTCTACTTCTCTTCGTGGGATTGATACGGGTTTTAGAACAATTTTCGGTGAATTTGCGTTGATTTGACCCCCKMCGACGACCATGATCCTTTGCGTTTAAACAATAGATTGTTTTGATGTGACGTCATAGTGAAATAGGCCAAATGTATGTTGTCAATTATGGAACTCCCTTACCAGCAGAAATTAAGCAATGTGACTCTACTGCTACTTTTAAAATTAAGCTAAAGACATTCCTATTTTAGAATCATATAACTAAGTTTGCATCATTTGACTAATTATGGACACTATTGGATAATTATTAGTGCCTGTATGCTATGGATGAATTACTATGAACACTATTTATTCATTTATTTATTTCTATATAGATGCGTTTGTCTTTTATACATAATTTATTATTATACATTTTTTGTATTTTTTTACTATAAAATGTACAAAGCATTGAGACTTTTGTAAATATGCGTTGTTAAGAATTATTATTATTATTATTATTATTATTATTATTATTATTATTGCGGCTTATTATTGCCTTCCCTTTAACCTACCTTGCATGGTAATTGTGCTAAAGAATATATTTTATTTATTCATAGATTGAAAAAGTTAAAGCAGAAGACTCGATCTTAGAAGAAATCAAGGAGTTAGAATCAATCTTGACAGGCACGTCATTATAGCGTCTTCTCTTTTCGCCATGGAAAACATACTCATTTCATTTTCATTCACAATCACAGACAGTTCGTATTGTACATGTATATGCACTCAATTGCAAAATCATTGTCAGATTCAAAAAACAAAGAAGATAGAAACTGAGATCCAAATGGTACATGGGAAGTACGCTAGATATCTAGTGATACAACTCGTGCAAGGTGGAGGCTTTCCACACATGTTAAATATCGACTGCGTATCTCAAATGAATATCAGATGACAAATATGATATTTACCAGAATATACCTTTCGATCTCAGATTGTATGTTATATGTTTTGAATAACAATTACAATGACAGTGGTTTTGCAATTGAGTGTAAAAAGGAAGCGATTGTAATATGCGTACGATCTTTTATAGATACTTTATAGCTTTGATAACAATGAACACTATCGTGGTAGATCATCGTAGTAATTAGAACTAGTGCACTGTATATGAATATTTAACTTRTGCTAATAAATAAACGAATATTGTACACGTGAAACTTTCTGTCACCCGCCTGAACTAACGAGAATAAACGAACAAGGACGCTTTAGACGATAAAACGTTTTTAATTTGAAATAAACAAAGACAACAAAAATGACGGTACAATATGGATGGATATGGGGATTAGGCCCTAAAAAGAGATCGAAGTCWATGATGAGACGAAGCAAGTTTCCACGTTTTGGTGAACCGTTAATAAAAGAGTACTTGCGGGTTTTTCTTTTTTCTTTCTTTTCCTTTCTTTCCTTTCTTGTACAATTTTTTTGCGTAATTCATGGATACATGTTGGAGGCTGGGGTAAGGTGTGAATGGGTTGTCAACAGCCCCTTTCCTTKATCCCATATAGTGACTGGGTCGACTTGGTCACTATTAAAAAAACGATTCCTTTTTCATTTCTTAGATAAAYATCACGGAGAAATAAACAAATACGCATGTTTTTAAAAGACGTCTGTTACCGAATAGCGCGAGTCGATTTGAAATGCTTAAGATAAGAATAAGAAATGTCATATTCATGCATGACAGAAGGAGCTAGTAATTCCTGGSCAAGACATATCCGTTTAGTATCTGTGCCGTATGATACACATATATGTAATACGATACATATAATATTGGTTGGAATTACAGGTATTTTTTTTTAATACCAATATTGCGTTATTTACTCCAACATGTTCTTTATAGCCAGGGGGTCTGCAATGTCAAGAAGAGAACAATTAGTTCTGATATAAGATTAAAATCGGCAAATTGTGAGATTGGGAAGGCGTAACATTCTTTATTTCTTTCTTGCCCTGGTTTAGGTACTTAAATAATAATTAATAATAATAATAATTTATTAAATTTGTATAGCGCAAAACTCAATTGGGGTATTTTCATTTGCGCTGAAATAATAACTTTAAKATTTAAAACGAGCATATTCCATTTGTATGTATGCTAACATGCGAGCAGATCATGATCATATAGTATTTATTAATCATACGGAGAACAACAGATCATTTAACTTTGGGCGGCTGTTTTTCTTCTTCAGACCRGGTCATGACCATTTTCTTTAACATAACTTTTTTTTTTTTTACAGTGAGAAGACAAATCAGCATTTGTTTAACTCAAACTGCATTAACTCGTAAAATAGGCGCAGTCTAATTCAATTATTGATGTCGTCATATATGTAACAGTACTTACATTTTGTCAGACAGCGCGGTCCAATAAAGCCAAATGTACACGCGCAGACTCCTGGGCGAAGACATCGACCACCGTTGAAACAGTTTTCTTYACATAAAGCTAAAAATTGGTTGATTATTTGTAAGTTAATATGCACTAATTTTATTATTGAAGACATAGAACATATTTSATGGAAATGTCACTTGTTGACAAAAGCTGGATACTAAACAGAGCAATGACGAAGATTACGAGACTAGGACAAGTGGTTTGAGTATCATGCGTCATTGTTAGACTCAAAAATACGCACTCTTTCCTCTACAGACGTGCCAAAGACGAAAATTACCCCGCCGCTCTCTGTCTAAGAACCTCCTCGCAGCATTTTCGAGAGTAATTTGGAGACAAAATTATAACATTCTATTCCTATGATATCCCTTTGATTATTGTATCGTTCTCCAAATTCAGCTTTTCTGGGAATTACTGCGAAAGAAAACTTAAACTCTACTACACGAAAGGACTGCTCTTCTTATAAGTGGCTCATGATAAATGCTTGAAGTTATTGAAAGGTTTGACTAGAAGAGACAAGAATGACGATATAACATTGACATACCCTTTTCGCACATTTTCCCATAATATCCAGACGGACATGTACATTTGTTAGGGCTTACACACCGGCCGTTATTTAAACAGGGGAATAAACAAACTGGTTTTTCACATCTATTTCCCAGCCATTTAGTGTTGCAAAGGCAGACATTTGGCATGATGCACTTGCCACCATTGAGACACGACCTTTGACAGRCGGGTACTTGACATCGAGCACCAATGTACCATCTTGGGCATCTGCACTTGTTATTAGTTAAGCACGTACCGCCATTCAAGCATGCAGGGGAACAAGGAGCTGAAATAAAAGGAGGTGGTCAGCCAGCTTATCTGAGAAAAATGTTAGCCAATCAGARTCGGAAAAAAAGGGAAAACTGGGTCGACATTTTCCTCTTGAAATTAGGGATTTTAAGGCCAACAAATGAAAAAAACCTCAGTTTTGTAGTGACGTCATTTCGACCATTATGGTCGAATCCTCAAGTCTCTAATACGCATAGTATATATATAACATCTTTATTACATCTAAAAGTAACGAGTATTATATGATCATTTGCTCACTAAGTAACGCCTGAACTTCGCTATTTTTAACGTATTGCTTCTGTCCTCGATTGAATTATTTTTCACTTGCCATTTATGGTTTAAAATGACCGTTTGACTTTTCCTTCTTTCTTCCCAAAAATAAAAACGAAGTTAGCTTTCAGATGACTCACCTATATTTATTTGACATCTCAGTCCAGCGAATCCTGGCAAACAAGAGCATATCCGAGGCCCAATACAAGTCCCACCGTTTAAACASTTGACTATACAGTTCATGCGTTGACAAAATCTGCCACTAAAACCATGTCTGCATTGACACCTGTTTGGGGCAATACATCTTCCTCCATTACGACAAGAAGGATTGCATATGTAGTCCAAGCACGATGTCCCACCGAAACCTTTCCGACATCGACAAATATCTGGTTTTATACAAGTTCCTCCATAAAAACAGCCATTGCTACAGAAGGGTTTCTTGCAACCCATACCATAGTATCCTAAAGGACACCTACACGTGTATGGAGCGATACACACCATACCACTGGGGCAATTAAATGGGCACATACTTAAACATTTGAGTCCGTTGCCTCGAAATCCAATAGGACAAGGTCCACATTTAAATCCTGGAGATGTAGCTTTGTTGTAGCATCTGACTGATGGAAAGCARGGGTTTGGCTCACACATGTCTAGTTCTGGGAATGTAAATGTTAAGCAGTAATGATATAAAACAAACAGAATTTAAAAACAAGGGGGATGTAGCTTGCACTAGTCTCTCCTCTCTGGAGCCACGGGTTCGATTCCTGAACTCGGCWTTTCATATAAGAGAGTTACTGGATGTCTCTCTTGTTTTCTCGAGGTTTTTTCAACCAAACATCGAGCGTAACCAACTACTCCAAGTTTGTTTTACACAGTGGTTGACAGACAGCGCAATAAGCCTTTTCAGAGTTTAAGAATCGATTCCACTGCGCATGCGATTTTATCCCGAATTCCTCACCTTCTTTTGTTTAAACCTTCTTTTGTTCTTAACTAAACAAAAGAAGGTGAGAAATTCGGGATAAAATCGCATGAGCAGTGGAATCGATTCTTAAACTATGATAAGGCTTATAGCAGCGCTTGTTATTTACAGCACATACCAAATTACAACTTTAAAATTCATTTTGAAAGCTATAACCTACTTGTACACTGGAAGCCATTTCCCGTCATTCCTTGAGGACAGTTTCCACAAATGTGCTTCCCATCAGAAACCACRCACCGAACACCTGGAAAGCACGAAAGCATTTTACACCTCGAGCTGTTAACGTTTTTCTCCGCGTTTATCCTTACACAGTTTATACCATTTCCAGAATACATAGATGGACATGAACCACATTTGAAGTTTCCAAGAGTATTGATACACGTCAGATTTTCAAAACAAGGACTGCGTAAACACTCGTCTATATCTTTTTCGCAGAATTTTCCAGTTATTCCTGGACGACATACACAAGTAAAAGTATTATTCTGTGAAGAGCATGAACCATACTGGCAAGGTTGAGATTGACAGGGGTCAATTATTTTTTCACAAAGCGAGCCAGTGTAAAGATGATTGCAGTTGCATGTAAATGACCCTACAAGTCCTATACAATGTCCATTCTTGCAGGGATTCGACTGACACATGTCAATCAAAGTCTCACATGTTCTTCCAGTGTACCCTTTGGTGCAGTTGCATGTAAATGACCCCACGTGTCCAACACAATGTCCATTCTTGCAGAGATTCGACTGACACATGTCAATCAAAGTCTCACATATTCTTCCAGTGTATCCTTCGGTGCAGTTGCATGTAAATGACCCCACGTGTCCTATACAATGTCCATTTTTGCAGGGATTTGACTGACACATGTCAATCAAAGTCTCACATGCTCTTCCAGTGTACCCTTTGGTGCAGTTGCAGGTAAATGACCCCACGTGTCCAATACAATGTCCATTCTTGCAGGGATTTGACTGACACATGTCAATCAAAGTCTCACATGCTCTTCCAGTGTACCCTTTGGTGCAGTTGCATGTAAATGACCCCACGTGTCCAATACAATGTCCATTCTTGCAGGGATTCGTTTGACACATGTCAATCAAAGTCTCACATGTTCTTCCAGTGTATCCTTCGGTGCAGTTGCATATAAATGACCCTACAAGTCCTATACAATGTCCATTCTTGCAGGGATTYGACTGACACATGTCAATCAAAGACTCACAAGTTTTTCCAGTGTACCCTCTGTTACAGTTACAAAGATAGCTGTCGATCATATTAATGCATTTTCCGTGGATGCACRGCGTCGTAAGACAAAGATCCAATTTCTTTTCACAGAATTTACCAGAGTATCCCTTATTGCATAAGCATGTATAGTTCGCAACTTTTGCTACACATTTTCCATGAATACACAGATTGCCCTTACAAACATCCATTTGAGTTTCACATAATGGCCCTGTGTATCCAGTTTTGCAATTGCAATAATATGGTGACCTGTTACTTGGAATATTGCTTCTTGGAATATTRCTATAGTTTGCTATGCATGCTCCATTCTTACAGGGATTTGTAAGACATGGATCTATCGGGGAATCACAGGCATCTCCAGTATATCCCTGTTGGCACACRCAAGAAAACGATGTTGAATTTTCAGAACATTTTCCATGGTGACAGGGATTCGACTGACAGAAAGTTRAACTTTTGTCGCAAATTGTTCCATAGAAGCCAGAAAAACATCGGCACTCAAAGGTATGATTTAAATTTACACACCTTCCATGGTGACAGGGGTTACTTTCACATGGATCTGCAAACAAAGTGCAATTTTTACCTTTGTAGCCTTTAAAACATTTACAATCGTAACCATTCCATAGTCGCGAACAGTGACCGTTAACACAAGGGCTGGGGACACAATACTCCTTTTTATGGCATCGGATCCCAATAAACCCTTTCTTACAAGTGCACTTGAATCCGTATCCAGTGTTGATACACAAACCATTAGCGCAAGGTTTAAACTTACAAAAATCRATAGGTATATTGCATAGCAACCCYTTATRCCCAAATGCACATAGACAAGAAAARGACGTTATCATATTCATGCAATTTCCATTAACACAAGGATTAGACTTACATTGATTGATGGTTTTGCTACAATTTAGACCTTCATATCCTGGTAGACAGTGGCATAAGTAACCACTTGGTATGTTGGTACAGTTTCCATGGATACATGGATTTGAGTGACAGTAATCAATCGTGATGTTGCAGGTGCTTCCAGTAAAGCCTTCCTCGCACAAGCACCTGAAACCACTCTTAGTCGA